GGCTCTCGGCTGGAGGGGGGCGTTCAGTACATCGACTGGAATCACCTCTACCAGATGTCATGGGGTCGTGACGTGGATGAAGAGAGCAGACTGCAAGTCGAATAATAAACTGTTTATTCAGGCCACGTAAAAGGAAAGTTATATTATAGCAAGACACTGGCACTGATAGCGGCGAGCAGAGAATTGGCCGTCAATCAACTAACAAGCGACGAAGCGCGTCGGCATTAATACACTTGCCATCGAATGTTCTAGGGTTATCGCTAGCGGCGACATAGGTTCCAGAATGATCTGTAATGTTCACAAAGTGGCCGTAATCTTAACAAAACGATCTACTATGGCCTCGAAGCTTTTTGAACATCCTAGGCGCAGTTTGCACTGAAATAGTGTAACGGTGTGATAACAAAACTTCAAGTAGAAACGGGGCAATATCCAGTTTTTCACCTCACTGCTATTGCAGACATATTAGAATATACAGGACCTGTTCATTCAAATCACTCAACACAGCTTGAGAAAATGGTTTTGAAACTTAACAATATTTATTTGAACTCTTGTAGCAAGTGCTGCTCGAACATATCTCGATATGTGAAATGAGTTGCTTACATGCTTGTACACCACCTGAAAAATGTATTCATGCATTGTGAGCACACATTAAAACCACGACATATAAAATGCAATTCTAGCAAAAGTATAACTGAACCAACCCGCATGAACAGCATCAATAGAGCTTTGCAAAGCAGTACAATACACCTTTATCATACACCCAAAACAATAGTAGCCGTGCAAAGAAACATTTTCTTTTAGGAAAGATCTGATGAGCACTGTGGTTTACACTGCAGGTGCTATGCAACAATTATTTTTTATCCTCCATAAACCAGTCTGAATGAACGTCAAATCAATTGACATGCACATACGTAATTACTGGCGTTAGTTCCAAAGACCCATGCACGTCATTGGCGCAAGCATTGAACAGCTCATTAATATTGGTGACAAAGTCTTTTTGCGCAAACCCGCCTGTTTCGGGCATATAGAAACATTGTGTACAAACATTCAGGTGAAATGTGCACTTATACTTGAAATATATAGGTGCAAAAGTTACCTCACAAACGGAAGGCTCAAAGTTGACATAATCGATATTCCTCAATCGGTGCTCAGTCCAATACATTGAGCACAGTACAGCAGTAAAAATCACTCAAACATACTGGGATCACTCGTAACACTTTCTAAAGGTATGATTGAACCGTTTTATACAACCACCACAAGGGTATTCCTCAAGGAAAATCACTAGACTAGCGTACACTAAGTGCAAACATGTGCAAGTCGCTCCGCGACTACCTGCTATATGTGTTGTACGAAACTGCGGTGGCGCACAATGATTTATTTGGTCTACTGGAGTGCTGTTGTTGATGATGTTACCTTAAAAAAAGAAATAATAATTTTTTTATGCATTATGAATAGTAAAGAGTAAGGTACGACACGAAAAACTTTATTTAAAGATCCGGAGAAGTGCCAACCCTTAGGGCGACACTGCGTGCCGCTCCCATGAGGCAACAGGTAGACCGAACCTAATTGTAACATCGTAGGCTCTCTGCGCTGCCCAAAGTTGATGCTCATATTCTGAGCTCTTGAGGGCCGAGCTCCATTTCTGCTCTAGCAGGTCCTTATCTGCATGTAATGGGGGCACCACTAAAACATGTTCTCTAAATCACACGTTCTCTCGCAGCGAGGGCACTGCAAGTTGAAGTCACTTGTAAATAGACAGTGCGTAATAGCAAGATTCAGATCGTAAAGGTCATCAACTGTGTTTTCGTGAGCTTTTTGTGTGCTGGAGGAAATACTCGTCTTTCCAGATAGAAGTGCTTTGTTAATTCATTAAATGTGAATAACGTGTCTCAGAACTCTTGAATCGTGTACCGTGACAAAGCTTTTCCTCCTGTATGGAAAATTAGCATGCGCGCTTGGGAGTGGGCAATGTCGTTGATGTTGGTGACTGAGTTCAGACTTGAACCCAGGTGTGCCGGGAACAACGTGATCGGCGAAAATGCTGTAGGCCCTTGTGCTCCGATTTGGGTGTACATACGTTAAAGGACCCCAAATGGTCGAAATTTCTGGAGCCCTCCACTACGGCGTCTCGCATAATCATATGGTGGTTTTGGGACTTTTTGTCATTTGTGTCATTTTGTCATTTAAGAGCACCAACACAATAGCAACCTGCTCTGCTTTAGAAGAGGTGGTCCCAGGCAGATTTGACCTCTGGTATAGATTGTGACCTTGGCTATAGTGAGATCAGTGTTCATATTGTGCTGCATCTACAAAGCAGACCATTTGAGGATCATCTTTGATCTTCTTCAGGATCACAATCACTCTTACTCTACACCTTCCCTCATTGTGCTCCAGATGCATATTGCGAGGGATCGGTGTAACAAGAATATTTTCTCTTTGCTACTTGGTCATTTGATGGCTTCTCTCCTCTGCCAGCACTGTATAGAGGCCCGAAATGGCTAAGATTCTTCTGCCTGCCAAATGTGCAGGATTGTCGAGCCACCTGGGCTGATTTCTGTGCTTCGATAATTTCATCCAGCGTATTGTGCATGCCTAATTGACAGCTAAAAATAGCAATAGAAACCACTGAGGAATGATATGACAATAAAGCTACTATTGCTACTGAGACATCAATGAAAATCACGGCAGCGCATTGTTTATCGTGGTTTGTGACTGCGGCATCAGAAAAAGCCTGCTAGAAAAGCTCACAAATATTAGATCGTGGCAGTCAAGGGTGAATTAAGGCTTCTTTTCACAAGGAAAAAACTAGTATTGTTTGAACACTATAGCCGTAGGTACAGCAGCTCAATGAGCAACTGAGCAAGCTCCTAGTTGAACGTCTACAGTTCTGACATTTTGCAACGCCGTGTCGACCGGGTGCATGACTATACCACTATGAGGTGAAATAAAAGTAAGTTCTGCCCTAGCCATATATATATATTTTTTTCATTTTGTTTGCGATTCCCAGTTGTATGGGGCACCTTAAATCACAGTGGTAAAATGTGTCCAATGTATCGTGTGATCATGGTCGTTGGCAGGGTTTCGTATTGAGGCGGGGGGGGGGGGGGGGTAGCAAAGTCGGGTTGCACCACTGCTTGGGGAGGGCAAGAGCGCTGGTGTATCTTGAGTGGGGGCAAATGTTGGTGTGTGTTGAGGGGGGCAAGGGCCCCTTTTTTACCCCCCTGCCAACGGCCATGCATGCATGTGATCAATATTCTGAGTCATCCTGCACAGCCTGCATTATCGAGGGGTCACTTTTCATTGCGTCTAGGAAGAAAAAATTAAATTTCGATATTCCATTTGTAATGCGCGGAACTTTATTAGCAAGAATCTGGAAAAAAAAACTCACGTTACATTCAAGTGAACACGATATATACTCATAATCTATCACTTGTGTTTAGTGAAATTTTTTGTTTGGCCGAAATTTTTTTTGTCATCGAACCACTCTGAGACAGGAAAATTTGATGCTAAATAAGCAAACTATTTCCCAACTGAAGATGGAAAAATTTCTTGCTGGAAATGTAACTGCCAAACTGGGACTGGAAAGCTTCAAGTTGAAAACGGCTTTCCAGTCAGGAATCATTTCGATTCCAAGCCTAAAAATACCATTCCCAGCCTGGACAGGGTCTCATTTCCAGCCAGAAATGGCATTTCCAGCTGGGAATAAGAAATTTCTTGCCTGAACAGTTTTCTCCAGCTGAAATCCAGGCTGGAAACCCAATTTTCAGCTGGGGATTCAGATCCCATTTTCATGTGAAATTACAGTCACTCCTAATAAGATGCCCTATACTTTCCTTGTCATGATTTTCTGTTATATCGTTTTCACACTCGATTCTCATTCAAAAACTACAGAACTCAAACATTCATCAAACCATTTGCCGATGTATTACAAATTATCTAACTTCAAGAAAACAGAAAGTTGTTGTAGGTGGATCATGTTCATGTTTAGTTTCGGTGACATCAGGCGTACTTCAGGGTTTCGTACTCGGCCCACTTCTCTTCCTTGTGTTTATTAATGACATTTCGGATACAATTAAGTGTCGTATTAGAATGTTTGCTGACAACTCTGTATTGTATGCTGAACTGACCGACCAAACGGATTCCACCCAGCTTCAGGATAACTCTAATCACGTAGAGGTATGGTGTAAAACTAATGATATGGTAATAAATACTAATAAATGCGTTCACAGTCAGTTTAACCAAAATGGTCAATAGGTTTACAAATCAGTACATCTTAAACAATGAAGTTATTAGGAAAGAACACAAATACAAGTACCTGAGTGTCACATTTTCTGAGAATGGGGGATGGTCTGAACACATTGCCAGTGTTCTCAGCAGAGCTAGAAAACACTAGGCTTTTTCAAACAAATCTTAAACATGTAACCAAGGAGATTAAACAGGCCACATATTACGCCTATGTCAGAACAATACTGGAATACGCCTGTCCTGTGAGGGATCCCTTTCACAAAGTACACATTCATGCACTAGAGCGCTTTCAGTCAATAGCAGCAAGATTTGTTCTGCGAAATATGACCGAACTGAAAGCTCTCAATGTATGAAAAGAGAACTTAATTGGCAATACTTACAAGGTTGAAGACGTAATCTAAGATTCAAACTATTTTATTCAATCTATCACAAGAAAACGGGCATTATTCCTCCAGAATATTTAAAACCAGTGCATTGTCATTCCTCTCGTCATGACCACAAATTTAAAGTACGGCCATACGACCCCAGAATGGATCTTTTTAAGTATTCTTTTTTTTTTACAAGTCATTGTCGAATGGAATATGTTACCAGCTGATATTGTTGGCCGCAAGACTGCGGATTCATTGTATGAGGCGCTGTGCCCCCCGCTATAATGCCTAAGATGACACTGCTGGTAATCTTTCAAATAACAAAAAAAACAGTGTGTTTGTACAGCGGTCTCGGTGGAAGGCCTGAATGCAGTGCACTGCTTGCAGCTGTGGTGTGTGCGGCAAGGCATTTGCACGCAACAGTGACCGCAACCGGCATGTCAAGATCCACACGGGGGTCCGGCCCTTCCAGTGTGACGTGTGCTCACGCAAGTTCCGGCAGTCATGGCACCTGCAGTATCACCGCAGCACCCACACTGACTTCTGATACCTGTAGCCACAGGTAGGGTAGGCACAGACATTTGCACAACCAAAACGCATTTCGTCAAACTCTCGGAAAACTTTATTGTAATAGCAATTATCATGTTTCTTCGCATGTAATCCTCACCAAAAAATGGAAAACGGGTTTAAAAAATGTGGGTGCATGTTATTTGCAGAGGCTCTATGTATAGTTCTTTTTTCTTTTCATATAGTTACAGTGTCTTAAAAAAAACTATTTTCACCTTGTGAGTAAAGGCATCAGACATTGAAAATATCAGTTTCTCATAATTCATATATGTTGTCGCCATGAATCAAGGAGTATGCTTGGCAGGGCTGTGTTTTTGTTATCTGCTTTCTTTATGTAGTAATAAAACTTTGGCTTATCATCAAGTAGTAGTGGACTTATAGAACTTCGTCCTGGCACATATAGCCCTAACTAGATCGCGCTGTTATGCTTTTTTATTCTCATATTTTTTTAATGGAACGATAGCTGCTTTGTGGGCCATTTTACTATGTATTGCCCGACAAAAAAAGAAATTGGTTAACAGCAGAAAGCCCAAGGGCGTGCGCATTTCTGAACTGGCAAACTGTTGTTGTCCACTGCAGTCTTGGAAATAAGCCATTTGCACCCCCGGTGAGACATAAAGATTGCTGAGGGTTTAGTCTGCATGTTGCAGCTGATACAGTCGATTCTGAATATATCAAACTCAGATATACCAAATGATTAGCTATATCGAACAGTTGAAGGATCCTCTTGATTTTTTTTCTGCAAAAGTATAAAACCGGTGAACCCAAATATTGAACTCCTGCACAGCGGGACATCTGCTATATTGAACGCTGTGCTGCCCCGAAGGCCAGAAAATGCATTTTTCAGAGCAAATATTTGTGAAGAAAACGCATCATTGGCAAGCAGCATTGCCACCGCTTGGGTACTGGGTTCTGGGCTCATCTCGCACGCCTCGTGCTGATCATCACCGGCATCTGCCTGAACGTTGCTCTGTCCTGATAGTGTTTTCATCATACAGCCGCCATCGCAACACACGCCAATAAACTTTTTTCCAATTGGTGGAGGGTGCTGACATCCCCGTCGCCTGAACCTGGGTGCTGCCATTCGTTGTCGCCTAAACCTGGAGCTGCCCAACGGAACGTTACCCCCCATCATGGCCACCAACATCGCGCAACCTGGCTCTTCCACTCCATCCTCCAGCAACCCTGGCGTTCTTCGCTTGCGAGAGCCCAAGGTCTTTAGCGGAGCTGATGAGACCGAGGTGGAAGACTGGTTCACCCACTACCAACTGGTGAGCGCAAAGAACAAGTGGGATGACGCGGACAAGTTGACTAACGTCATCTTTTATCCTCGCTGACGTTGCCAAAATGTAGTATAACAACCACAAAAACGACATTACAACGTGGTCCATCTTCAAAACGTCATTTGCTGACCTTTTTGGTTGACCTGCTGTCCGCGAGTCCAGGGCCGAACGCTTGCGGACTCGCGCACAGAAGCCATCGGAAATGTTCACCGGTTACGTCGAAGACATTATTGATCTTTGCAACCATGCGAACACCGCCATGCCCGAGTCTGAGAAGATTCAGCACTTTCATATTATCTTTCATGCACAAAGCACTTGTTCAATAGCGTAAAAAAAGGATAGTCAGTTAAAAGTAGCATGCACTGAAACAACACGTATATGTTTGTCATGCATGATGTATGTAACAACATTACACATGATGATTTTTATGCATTACCTTTGAACTTTCCGCATGAATACAAATACGTTGATGGCGACCTTCTCAACGGTGAATATTTTATACTGAATTAAATTTTTAATTACTAAAACAGCTCACAAAGAAATACTGTTTTAAATGTGAAGCACTCCTTGAGAAACCAAAGGAATTTGAGCATTTCTGTTTACTTTAGCTTCCCACTGAGCTCGTGTTCACTGTTTTATTCGTCACCGCTTTGCAAGCTGCATCCATCGCTCCAAGTTGTCATAAGCAAGGATAATCAGATTTATCGGAGAATAAAATGGAACCTTTTCTTGGCGCTTCCAGTATGGCAAAACTCAAATATTTTTAAAGATTAGTCGCAATCATGTGCTTACAGTAGCTTCGATACAGCAGGGGTGATGATAATCCTTTTTTATGAAAGAAAATTATTTTCCTGACAGAGCAATTGCTTTGACCGGTCCACAAAAGATTTGTTTGTTTTCAGCAATAACTGCATCCCTCAGCCGCAGCAGAATAAAAACATGAACAAGTGATGTGATATGTAGGGCCCCTGTTTAGCGCTAGCCTGCTCTACAGTACTACTGCACAAGGCGGAAAGCGTCATAAAAAGCCTTCAAGCTAAATTGTCACTGCTGAAATGTTGGAAAATTATCACTACATTGTGCCTTTGCCTCATAATATTTTCTTTTTCTCGTAACAATATTATTGAGTGACTATACAGTGGTGAACGAAAATCGTGCCTTAGTTGTTGTTTTCTTCAGCGTGCAGCCGACAGTAACCACTGTCGAAAGTGTAGGGACTCAGCTCCCTAACTTTTCTCAGTGGGGGGGCTTCCGCCCCTCTTGCTCCTTCGGTTTATACGCCTATACTTAAAGCGGGTGTGCACTAACGAGGTTTGCTGTATATCTTTCCTGGGCATGCATCTTCTATCGTATAATTAGGGCGATCGACAAGTAAGACTAAGGGTGGCTTTTGCCAGTACAATGAGAAAGTGAAAGTAAAAAACGAAAACAAAATTGGAACCAATATATTTGATATTCTTGTCTGCCTCTCTATTTGTGAGGTACCTTGCACATTCTGCATTCACTGGGACTATGTGTCTCTAAAACCACTCAGCCAAGCTGTTGTAGCCACGTCGTGATGCTTGCGACAGGGTAAGAAAGAAGACGTGTCTTTCTGATTTTATATCACTCCGTGTGGTCTCTGGCTTTTTCCCTTACCCTGCAGTCCATCACAAGCAGTGAAGACAATATTAAGCCACGTCACTTTAGCCACACTCAGCGTGACCTAAAAGGAATTCTTTTGCTACAAAGATGATTAGAAGCCATTGCATTTTTTGAAGTACGCACTACATCATGTGTGTGATAAAAGGAAATTTCATTGCAGTTACTTGAAATATACATTGCTAACATCTATGGTATCAAGAAGCTTTCTGAATAAAAGACATGTATTGTTGAGCAGCATATTGTGCCACTCAGGACTTTGTGAACTTGAAATGCCAAGAACCACCAGGGTCTCAAAATGTGCAGCATGCACATAATGTGTAAGCAAGCAGGGTGCGAGATAAATAGTTGGCAAGGCATAATACCACCTAGTTAATGAAGTATGTGTACATTAAAAATTATGTTAGTGCTATGCCAAATGTGAAAACCCTTGCATTTCTTGAAGTGAATGTGAGTGAGCTCTACATTTTTTAGTTAATTGATAGTTCCAATGACTGAACTTGAGCATTACTATCAGCCTCATGTCAGCTAGCGCCAGTGTTCAAAACTCTAGCTGAATATTTATTGATCAAAGGCGCGAGTTGCAGAAGACGTATCATGACCTATGTGTCGTAGCTGTGGTGCAACAACTGCAGTCGGGGTAACTGGGTAACCGTTCACTGATACTAGCTTAGGTAGTGTAGGTGCGTAATCGCTGTTATGGCTGCCACCCAGTGGGTCCCGCCAGTCTATGGCTGCTTTCGTGCCACTTGGGGGGCTGCCCTCAACACCTCCCTTCCCTTTTTTAAAAAGGATTGGATCCTGCAACTCCAAGCAGTCTGTTAACCCTCCAAGTTTGAATGTTGTATGTGTCTTGCCAGTCAATCTTGTAGGCCTTATGTTAGTTTGTACGATGTAGGTCACTTGAATGTTAAACATTTGACAGATGTCCGTCTGGTTGGGTATAAAAACTGGGAAATTATTTAAGCTCCAACCAAAAAGTTTGTGAAGAATTTCGACTTTAAGGAATAGTCTTGGTTCCTTCCTCAGGAGAAGTTGGGACTACATATCAGTGGCGTATTCAAAGCACTCGTAGGGGCGGTTAATTCAAGTCAATAAGCCAAGACTTCGGACGCGATATCATGCAGCTCGTGAAGCTCTACATACGCATTAAGGAAGGCATCTCTGTCTTCAAGACTCACCTCGACTTCAACCGCACCTGCAAAAAAAGGAAACTCGTTCCTCAAATCCTGCGCCTAAAACGACCTGTCTCGACTCGACTCCTGAAGGCTTGGAAGTCGTCACAAGAGCCGAACAGCGACTGATCAATGACCACCTTCCTGAAATTAATGCCTCTCTACGGAAAAAAGAATTGGACCTGTTCTTTGCCAAGTGTCAACTTGACCACCACATCCCTATGTTAATGTCTGCGGTCGACGCGTTCGCAGACACCTTTGCGGCACCGACGGTGAAAAAGCACCGAACCACGCAGGATAAGAAACCTCCCTACTTGTGGGACCGGAATTCTCCCTAAAGCATCCGAAATACCAGGTTTGTCACTAATCTTTGTCTCGTCCACTCACTGATCACAAACTTTTATTCTGGCAAAGGGAGATGACTATAACATATCAACGACGCCCTGTCTACGTAAACTTTGTCGTGGCTGATGAGGAAGCCATCCAAAACGTGAGGCCGAGCGCCAGAGAAAAAATTAGGCTGAAATCAATTGGGATCCTTTTGAAATTACCGTTACAAAGGAAAAAAACTTGACCGCGGAGGAGAACTAGGAACTTCGGATACTCCGACAGGATAAGAGTATTGTCATCTTGCCCGCCAACAAAGGCAATTCGACGGTGGTGTTGGACAGCGGGGACTACGATCGGAAGATTCCAGCTCTTTTAGAAGGGGACACATACATGCAGCTACAAAAGGACCCAATGAAGCAAACCCAGACACAGTTAAACAAGCTACTCGCTAAAATTTTGAAACATTATCCGAATCTCGGAACACTGTACGTGCGACTAATCTGCCGTAACAGATCCACACCGAGTTTCTATGGACTACCGAAAATTCACAAGCCTGACGTCCCCCTCCAACCAATTGTAGACTTCACTTCCTCCTCATGCCAAGCCCTTTCATATTTTCTACACCGAATCTTCGCCCCCCTAACCCAGACGACACCAACTCATGTCCGTGACTCCAGCCACTTTGTGCAGCTAGCATCAGAGGTGAGCATCGACGATAACGAGAGCCTGGTCTCGTTCAACGTCGTTTCATTGTTCACCACTGTGCCAGAGCCCTTAGCTGTGTCCTCAACCTGTGATGCGCTTGAGGGTGATGAAAGCCTCAGCGAAAGGACTCCTTTGGCTGTTGACGAGCTCTGCCGTCTACTAGAATTCTTCCTGTCTAATAGGAACTTCCCCCTTAAGAGAAAAATCTTCAGGCAGAGCAGTGGAACCGCGATGGGAGCTTCCATCTCCGTCACGATGGCAAACCTGACCATTGAGCACATAGAAGAAAAAGCACTCATCTCCTTCTCGCCGTGACCCAAGCTTTTTCTTCGGTATATGGACGATTGCTTGATTGCTTCTCCGTCATGAAGACGTCTGAAATTGAAAACTTCAGACAGCGTCTGAATTCCGTGCACCCAGCCCTATTCACGTACAAGTGTGAAAGTGACCGCTGCCTGCCCTTTCTCGACGTCCAGGTGGCAAGAAAGTGCAACGGCCTGGAGTTTCCATTCACAGGAAGCCAATGCACACCGGCCGCTACCTTCGGCATGACTCTTCCCATCCCGCCTGTCACAAGGCCTCGTTTGTGACCACAATACTTCAGAGAGCTAAGAACATATGCTCCAATGGCACGGAGCGCATAAAAGAAGAGACCCGCCTAATTGCGGACCTTACAAAAAATGGATACCCCGAAAACTTCATTTGGGCCGCCACCCGCCGCGCAGAGTTACAGAGGATACGGAAATCCCAATCAGCTTTAATTGTCAGCCCTCCGAAACGCATTCCGGTCCCATACGTCCAAGGAACTAGCGAGATGTTGGCGCTGATCTTCAAAAAAGAAGAGATTCGCATCATGCACGCAACTTCGTGTACGCTGAGCCGCCTCCTCCCCCGCACGAAGGACCGGCCAACAATGAACAGGACCCCCGGGTCGTTTACAACATCCCGTGCGCCGAGTGCCCTTCTTCGTGTATTGGTGAGACGAAAAACCTACCGGAACGAATCAGGCAACACGCTAAAGACGTACAGAGGCTCTATAAAGAGCGCGGCGTTGTTGCCGTGAATGCTGAGACGTTGGATTACTGGATCAATCTTGGAGCAACGACTATCCTTGAAAGCGAGACGAACTTGAGGAGAAGGTTACTACTCTATGGCCCTTCCGATAACATCAGATAAAAATCCGCGGATGATAGTCACTGTGGACCATTTAACATGCTACGCTGAGACTGCCGCCCTTCCAAGTGCCACCGCGCGAGATGTAGCGTCCTTCGTCCTCCATCGCTTCTTACTACGACACAGTGCACCTCGAGAGTTACTAAGTGACCGAGGTCGAGCCTTCCTATCAGAAGTCGTCAAGGCTCTGCTTTCTGAATGCCATTTTATTCATCACAAGACCACGGCGTACCACCCACAGACTAACGGGCTCACGGAGAGATTTGACCACACCCTCGGCGATATCCTCGCGATGTTTTGACATCTGATCATACTAACTGGGATCGCACTCTTCCATTCATCATGTTCGCATACAACATCGTGGCACAGTCTACCACTGGATTTTCACCTTTCTTCTTTATGTATGTACGCAAACCTTTCCACACCATCGACTATCTCCTTTCATACCGTCTTGATGCATCCAAATGCCCATCTGTGTCTGAAGCTGCCGAAAAGTGTAAGAGTGCCGTGAACTCGCACGCACCTTTTTGTCAAAAGAACTGCAGCGCCAGAAAGAAAACAATGCCGACTTTTCAAGAAGCCACAGCTGTTCTCCGGGATCACTTGTATGGCTGGCTGTTCCTTACCAAACCCCCAGCCTTTCCTCAAAACTTGTCCCAAAGTACGAGAGCCCTTACTGCGTTTGGAGCAAACCTCGCGGGTGAATTTTCTCATTGAGCCACTTTCCACATCTGACGACATGCGCCGGCGTGGACGTGACATCGTCCACGTCGCCGGCCTTAAGCCATACAATAGCCCTCGGCCTCCAGACTCTTAGGTCGCCAGAATGGCTCTTTTTCGAAAAGGGGCGATGCTACTTGCCAACGATGCATTTTATTCTTCACATACTATTGTTCAATTTTTGGCTGTGTTCTAACAAGTTCCCATCTATTTCTGCACGCAGGTGACGAAAAGGCGATGTTATCCTATCGTGCCAATCTGGTGCGTTGAGTAGTATTTGCTAGTGCGCTGGTATGTTGGATGAATGATCTGCAGAGCTCAATGCGTGAGCATAGGGTTTTTCAAGAAGACCGATTGCCAAAGACACCAAAATAAGAATGCAAAATGACTCAGCAATCACGTTGCAATGTGCACATTCACATTCCCTTCCTTGTTTTTTGGATGCACAGTGGCATGCATGCCTGCAAAGCATGGCCTTTCCTTCGATATGTACAACCTCGTGAATCCTCTTTTGGGAGGTGAAGTGAACGTTCAACCACTCGTAATGATAAAAATAATGACTGACGCTTGCAGCGACATTAAGTAATGCACCATTGTGAACCGTCCTTGCGGGCCAGGTGACAACTTCAAGTGCATCATGAACGCTGAAAATGGCGTGCAGGTTCCTCAATGATATCTGGTACTTATAAGCATTTCTGGGCATCATCTCTGAAAGTGAGCAACTTCATTGGTGCAGGTGACGATGTAGCTGTTTCTGACTGTATCGATGCTGAAATCATGGCTGCCATTGTCGGTGCCCCGGAAGTGTACCCGTGTAGTTATAAATATGCAAACACTCTCGCTGCTGCCGCTAATCAATCTTTTGCCGCGCTACAAAGCTTGCATTGGCGTTCTGCATCAACCGACGCTGTTGTGGCCTAATGAGCTGAATTCACTTATTTGAACAGATTCAGTGATATTAAGGATGACTGGAACTTGATGGATGGCAAGAAGCAAGACAAGTTTACGGACTATTTTTATGAGAAATAGAGTGCAGTAACTTGCAGTTCACGCCTTGTTCTTAATTATACTGTGAACAAATCTTTATGTTGGCACTTGTGACGATTTCCGAGGCCCAAAATTCTTTAATGTAGGCCCTAAATACGCATATTTCGTATTTGGATTTATCAATATGCAAACTATTTTGAGATTTTTTTGGAGTTCGATATATCCGGGATAGACTGTATTGCACTGGTTTAATAACGCCACGAATATGTGCAGTGCTCACAAATTGAAACATGGCAATTTAGGGTTAAGTAATGCATGCATGTACAGTATCGTCTACCGTTAAAGGGAACACTACAATGAGCACCATTCAAATTGAAGGACCTCTAATAGCATATAGATAACGAAACAATGCTTATGCAGGGCACTAGTCTGTCAAAAGGAACCAGAACAACCAGTCACTACAAGTTTCGTGTAAATCTAAGCCACTATGCTTTTGCAAGAGAGTGAAATACAAGTGTGCTGTACCCGACTCTAAATAGTACTTTCGTTTCCAAGATCTTCAATTCACATTATATTGGTACAATTTTGACACTTAATCAGAGCCTCTGGCATGATACAGTTAAGTATCTCTAGTGATTGAGCATACTGTAAGATTTAATGCCACACATCAATCTCTGAACGGTGTGCATTTTGAATAGACACTGGCACCAAGTTGGCTAAAAGATTAATTTACACGCATCCTGGAACTAATGATGTATCTTTGCTTATGGCTGCCTGCCGTGGGTGCAGTTTTGAGAGAAAGAGCATGCAGGTGTGTTGCATTTTCGGGTTCCTCCTCGCAGGTTCACGAGCGGCTGACAAAGCTTCATGGGCTGTGAGTCTGCTGCACAGTGGTGTCCAGCAACAGACAACTGCAGCAGCAAGTGCCTTCAAGTTACTTCTCAAGATGTGCCATTGGGGCTGTCTATTGACTAGGCATGCAAGACATGTTATGGTGGCACTACAGGGTCATGAATTTGGTACATACTGCCAAATGAAAAGTGGACAATTTATTTTTCTAGAAATTGAATTAATGATATTAGCACACATGCAGGCTGCAACCAAAAAGGATCTTGCCATGCAATTATTTTTTTTAACTTGGAATTTGTATACAGGGTCTGTCTAAAAGTTCCTTTTTTGTAGCACTGCCTGTCGGGGCAGCACTGAAGAGAGGGGGGGAGTTGTTATCTTCAATATGAGTCCAGTTTCATTTGCCTGTGGGCAGTTGTTGAGGCAGGTCATACCATTGTACAAAGGTGCTAATGCACCATCGTCGAGAGAAATAAAATGGATGAGTTTTTCGAGCTGTATTATGCAATTAGGTTTTGTGTGAAACTAAGATCAAAACAGGGCAGAGTAGCTAAAAGTGCTTCAGAAAGGTGACAAGACAGTGAAACAAAGCCAGGCTTTGATGTGGTTCCAGGAAGGTGTGAAACGACGATGACCAGTCTGGACGTTCATTGAAATCACAAATGGGCGACTCGGCACAAAAACTACATCAAGTTTTAGACAAGGATCGACGATTCAGTGTTCAGTTGATTACAGAGGAGTGTGGAGTATCCTAAACAATCGTTCAACGTATTTTGATGAAGAATCTTATAATGACCAAAGTTGGTGCAAAAATGGTGCCAATAGTCTTGATAAGTGAGATGCTGCACTGATGGTCGTCAAGTTGCAGCCCAAAATGGCAGCACTGCTACAGCCACTGTAAAGCCTCTACATGGTACCACCAGACAATTCTTGTCCCCAATAATCAAATAAACTCTTCATGAGATGCTGGATAGGGTAAAAGAACACGCTGAAGGAGCCTGTCATTGGTTACGTGAAGCATTAGTGCATTAAACCAGGGTGAGAGTTTTTTTGAAAAGGTATGAAAAAAGTGTAAACTGAACAGTTATTAGTGAAATGAAAATTCCAAGAACTTTTGAGACAGACTTTCCTGTATGTCATTCCCCTCCCCTGGCCGTGCCGGATGATACATAGCCCAGCCATTTAAACTTCAGCCAACTGACTTGCCGGACAAGAAAGCTCTGCTATTATGTCGTGTGCTGTGCATGACAATTGTGCTCTTCTCATTGGCGGCAGTACTTACTTTTTAAGTACTACTATAAGTGCTAGGACAAAGTAACTGGCTTGTGTCTTGTGCGTTTACTGATGTCATTACAAAGCAGTTATTTCTTGCAGGTCAACAGGACACTTTGAAGCAAAGTATCATTAATAGGGCAGACTGGGATCACTAACGTGTAATTTATAAGTAAAACTTCCACCACTTATAGTCGGGGTTAATGCTAAATCGTGTAACTTAGCCGGTATTAGTCCGCTACAAAGAAAAAGAAAAATGGCACAGATGCCATAGAAAGACAGGCAGGTTAGTGCCTACCTTTTTCGTTACATCTCTGTTGGGTTCAACACTTCTGAATCATAGCACATTAAGTGCCTACCAGTGATGTTTGGGTGCACAAACTAGTGGTAAATCTTTGTTGTTGCAAAGCTGACCAAAACAGATTTGCCCAGATGTTCATAATATATACACAGTGAAATCGATAAATGTATCCAAGTCAACCTACTGCATCCACACTTTTGGCAGTGCATGAGAAATAGATGGTACCAAAGAACAAAAATATTCGCAACGGGAGCTTGCTCCTTGACTGCCTTTTGAAGAAATGTTATGGCTGTGGCATAAGATAGAAATCCTGTGAAAAAAGCATACTAAACCTTGAACCAGTGAAATTGACCTCTGTTGAATCTAATCAACTGCAATTATTTTTTTTCATTGAAGTGATCTTTGCACCGTGGCTGCTTATGTTTCTTTACACTCAAGTCCTGCTGTGAAGCCATCTATTCAAAGCTGAATGCTGAAGAGCTTTCATAGGAGAAATGGGTCTTGTGCAACAGCTTTTGCTGCCTGTGCATACTGCACATTCTCCAGATTTTGCAAAGCAAGAAAAGGTGCTGAATTCTTAGCAGTAAAAGATAATTACTTTTTGTAGGAGCTTTAAAAATCTTATTTTCAATTATTTGAAACAGGAGTTTTCATTTAATAATGAGATCTAACGGACAATCATATGCTAAGAAAAGTCAATCAAAAGTCAATGTAAAAAACAACCATGCCCTTACTTTCCTTGGAATGATTGTCTTCTTGTGTCTAGCAAAAAAAAAAAAAAACGACCCCTTAAATGTATACTTCTGTCATTCAGTTTTCATTTGGTAAGTTAAGATTACTAACATGAGGTATCTATTTACATGAAGTCAATAATCGCAGGGCATATGCAGATGATTGAAGTTCTACATAATTTCAACTACTGCCTCAGTATACTCATCCATCAATCAACAGAGCTACAGGTTTGTCTACAGGTTTCTCAGTATGAGTCACTTGACATGGTATTTGATTTAAATAGCACCACTTTTTGCCCGCTAGTGAACTTGGCTACACAATTTTAAGAGCATCTAATTTATAGTTTGGTTGTACAGGGGTAAATGCATTAGAACATCTCAATTCGTTGTGACTCAGGAAGTCGGGGCATAATGCCGCAAGAGTTGCAATGTGGGTGATGCATTTGAAAAGTATTGATGCAGTGCGAAGCGACACATGAGAAGGTACATATGGTCAACACACACGTAGCGCTGTTTCGTGTCCATAGGTGCCTTCTCAGGTCCGTATGTCGCTACGTCAAACTTTTTCATAATGCCACAGTTTCATCTGTTTGGGTGAGCTGAAGTGATTGAATCATTTTTGCTTAGACAAACTGGCAGATGAGGGTAGTTCTTTCAGTACAATAGTTTTTTTTTTCATTTCTTCCTGCAGCCAAGATATGGTCAGGTATTTTCAACTTATGCTTCAGGATCATTTTTCACTGATAGCAAAACACTGTCAAAAGATTTTTAGACCGAAATGGCAGACACACTGTGTAATTCTGGCTTCATGTCTGGCATGGTTCTCTTTAATTGCCATTTTGATTTAATTGAAAGGCTGGTGCACGGGGCCTCGTACATGCTGAGCACTCTAAGCCAGTTGAAGATATGTATTAAATAAATGTCGCTTAATTACTGTGTGGCTTTTATGCACTATCAAATTCAAGGTGATAAATTCACTAATTAGTAATGAGATTTTAATTGAATGAATAAATGCAAGTCATTGCAAATTATAGTAATGTCTACTTATGAAGTAACCCACATTAAAGGGCCACTCACCACGCCCCACATCAAATTTTAGTTAGACCGTGGGAGTTGTTGGGTGTTCGATGAGAAACATTTTTCCACGAAATTTTTGTTAATCGGTTCATTAGGAGCTGAGAAAACTTCTTTTTTGAAGTGGTGCAAAATGAGACTGAGAGGAGGCAAGATCGAAACGCTTGCCACTCCTCCGCGAAGCCTTCGCAAGCTAAATCTCTTTCCTACCCGCTGCAGCATCCGACATAGAGGTTACGTGTGCACGACGTTCCCGAACAAGCCCAACCCCCGCGCACGCAAGCATAATTTTTTTTTTACCAGCGTTCTTTTGAGGTCTACTGCCTGTTTCTGTGGGATGGTTTAGAAACGCCGCATTAAACGCGGTAGAATAGATGAGCACAATGAGTGCGGGAATACCTAGGAGCGTTCTATGGCTGTCGTCTGCTTGATGCGCTGACCGGCCGAATCGCGGGGACACAAATGCATGTAAAACACCGGCGCATTAGCCCTGCATCTCGTTGCAATTCATGAGAAAAAAAATGAAAAAAAGAACGCTCACATTGCCTTTATTGCGTCTCATTAATTATCCAGAAATTCATTAATCTCTTCAAGCAACAAATACATAAACTACGCATGTTGTGTTAAATAATTTTCGCCATGTCACATGCCACTGCTGGCAACGTCAGAGCATAGTCGTCTACATAGAGCACCAACGTCACTGCATTGCCGTGTACGTAGGGCTATTCATATGCGCACGTCATGCCCTTATTCTCTGGGCGCTCACCCGCGAGAGAAAGAGGGAGTAGTGTTCATCTTGAATTTTGGCCCATTTACGTGGCGCTCAGCATTGCAAATTTTGGCATACATGATCATGAACACCTCATTCAAGCATTGCGCTTGTCAGCTCAAAATTGTCAGACCTAATGAGTGGCCCTTTAAAAAGAAAGATCTTATCTGTCACACAGGAAGTCATATACAGTTAAACTGCTTTATAAGAGGCATGCTTCGGGTTGCAATTCTTGTCTTTTGTATGAGGAGAGTACTTTGTATGCATTTTCTTATCAACCCGTATTTTACTGTGGGCACACTGGTGTCTCTTATACCCATTGGTCTCTTACATCAGCGTCTTTTACATGGGTTCGACTGCAGTAAATATTATTTGTGCATCGATGGAATGTGGTTGTATTTCGCGTAGGCTGACAGTGCAATGTGTAAAAAATATATGTAGAGACATGTCTTCATGAATCTTAAAGGGCCAGTGAAACAGGCTCCGACTTTTTTCTGTAAAACCTCCAAATGAGCTTGCTGATTTGTACAGTAGACCATGGTGATCACAATTTGCAAATACTACAGAGCTGCGCACCATGCGAGCTGTCCATTTCGAAAAACAATTCTCACGCCTCTTTCTTATGCCTGAGCAATCCTCCTCGTATGCGCTGTGACTGAGCCTGCCGATTAGTCCTTTGCATTATTTTCATTTTCCTAGCGTGCCATTTCGTAGACTACCGGCCAGAACGAAAGCTTTCAAGAGGTGTCTTGCTACTTTATCACTAGAGGAAGATAGCCTACCACCTCATCAGAGCGCTGCTTTAACACCGCTGCACACGTGCTCATTTGCTGGCTGCACCGCAATGCTGACGTGATGAGGACCGCCAGTGAGAAAGGGTGGGAAGGACGAGTGAGAAATCAGCCAACCCAGCTCGTTCAATACAGCTAAGTTCTTGTGGCAGCATGTTCACATTGTACAAGTGCTCGGTTATTTCTCTATGAGAAATATTGAACCGGAAGATTGTTTACTGTCGTTTTCATAATTATGACAGTGTTTTGTAGAGAGTGCATATGAAATATGTTGCTTTTAGGTATTCATATGCTTTTTGTTATTGCTGATGCGGTTAGCTGACATGTCATATTTATTTTGTAGTCATATAGGGTGACTATTTGGAAGCTCAAGTCACAGGCGCATAAGCTATCACTAATCACAGTTGCGGTAGAGTGTACTAGAATGGGAAAGTGGGTCCACTCGAGCGGATAGCAAGCAGTGCGGGTGAAGCAAAAAGACTTGAAAATTTGCGGTGGCACTGCAGTCGTCTTCGTGTGGTCTGGTGTTGGGCCGGTGCAGCAGTGGCCGGCAGCGCTCGTGGGCATGCCTGGGACTAAAAGAGCGCCGAGGCTGTCGTTTGCTCGGCGCAGTATCGTCTGCTTGAGGCATTCGCCGCTCGCGTGTTGATTTTCTTTACCATTTGTTCGCTAGCTACTTTCAACTTTGTTGGTGCAAAAAAAAAAAAAAAAGAATCTAATGCGATGAAGCTAGCCCTGCTGCTATTAGCTACAAGCAGGGTGTTCAGCGAAATTAATGTAGTGCCTTCTATTAGTTGAATTATTCAAGAGACATGGTGCGACACTGTGCATGGCTTTGCACGAATGCTGCTGCATGCTGCTGCAGTGCTGTGGAATACACTTGAGATGCAACGCCCACGCCACAGCTGCCGGTGGCGGCTGCTGCGCGTGATCATAACTATGGAAACATCAACGGTAGCCATGGTAACGTTCAGGTGAAAGCTACAGGGGCACTGCCTGGATTTTCAGAAAGAAATGCCTCAGCGCAGAGCCCTGTGTGGACCCACTACCACATTCTAGTGCATTCTAGTTGCAACAGATGATCACTCAAGATCGTGTGCAGAAGGGTACAGCCTATGCAAAAGCTTCCTGAAGAATTCTCGAATGTTTGCATCTAGTCGAAGACGAGTCGAGTCGAGACGAATAGTCGACATCTAGTCGAGACGAATAAAAATATTAAGTCACAATGCGGATGTCAATGTAGGAGGTGAAAGTTTTCCAAGAGCTGATTGACGAGCACATGCATGCATTGAATGTGCAGAGTGATTTTCCACATTTACTGTGTCATGAACTATTGATTGTGTGATTGCAATGAAAACATGTCCTTAGACTGTGATGATTTCTTTTTTCTTATTAGTTCGCTGTATTTTGATTTGCTTAAATGTTTCTGTTGCAACGAAGAGATCCCAGGATGTAAGCATCAAGTGCATCCTTTTATGGCACTATTTTAGTGTAATTTGTTGTGCGATTGAAAATCTTGCTGTGACTGATTCTTTCAGGCATCACCATGTTGAACCATGTGTCATTGTTTAAGGTGTTCAACCAGAACCGCTTTTTTTCTAAAGAGTCTGTTGCTCTTGATGCTGTTCAAGCAATGTGGTCATTCAGGCAAACAATGCCAGAGAAGGTTGTTAGCGTTAATAGCTTAAGCACTGAAAATCCGTTTTATTAAAACTGCATGTTCAAAAATTTGGAATGCCTGTGATGGTAAGCATGAAGCAATGAAAAAAAAGCTTGAATGCACACTGTTGGGAAACTGCATGCTTTCATGAAAATAGAGGTAGTATGAGTGTATATACATACAATTTTGTGGTACAGCTACACAGTTAGTTACTGCCAATTCAGGCAAAGAGCAAATATATGATTGACATGATTTTCCTATAGTTGAACAACTCTATGTGTACCTGACAGTGTGCATTTACACCTCAAGAAGCATCAAAGTTCCTCAGAAACATGCTCCCTGGAGTGCACAAGTGCACGGCTTTAATGCCTCTTCAACGCACGAGTGCACTCATGCTGTATAGCATCAGTTGTCCATAAAAAAGCGGCAGCCCATTTTTTATTTGCCTGTGTACAATTCTGTGCCGCCTTTAGCAGTATCATGTTCACTTGCTGGCATGATATCTTTTCTGTGAATAAGCTTGCGAGAAGCTTACTCTTGCGTCTCACTGTTTCTTTACCATTCTGATAATAGACTAAATTGTGGAAACTAGAAAGGTGCACATACTCTTTGTGTGTGGTACTTGAAGACACGAATGAATCTTCAAAGACATTAACATTTTTATTGTCTGTCTCTGCACTGGACTCCAGAAACTTGCCTATCACCTATCTTAACATATGTGTTGTAGGATAATAGCTTCGAGTTGGACACACTTAGGATGAGTCTATAAGCTGTCCCTGTTGCCTAGCACACCTACCACTCTAAACTAGAAATTGCCATTGATGCAAAGGTTGCCAAATCAATAGTTTATGAGTGCACTCAAGTGAGCTGCATAATAAAGATGGTAATAGACTTCGAAGACGCGAATCCATAGAGATGAGACACGCACAGTTAATGGCCAGTTATCAATACAGGAAGAAAGTAGTGTGACAATATTTTTGCATTTATAAGACATTGTTTAAACAATAGGTAGTAGTATTTCATTTATTATACAAGGTTTCATTTATTATACTTATTATAAGTGCAAAGTATGTGAGGCTGTGGCATAGCATTTTTAGTGACACAGCCAATAGCCAAGGTATCTGGGTATGACAGTGAATGATATTGGTTGTTTAATACTAGGCCAACAATCAGCATTGCTTCCACAAACATCACCTAAAAATGGGTTGCTGTGCATGCTGGCCATCACTGAGAGCGTGTGCAAAAGACATCCACTCACTCCTGGAAGATTCGTTCAAATTCAAAAGCAAGCTGAACTCAACACTTAAAGTGAAACACCGTTGATTACCTGCCAGGGACGACGGCGTAACTACGCACTAACCACCAGCTACAAATTTGCATCCCCTGGCATGTGCCATCGCCGCCAAGAAAGGAAGAAACTAGGTGCCACTGAAAATATTTCCTGAAATGCCCACCGCGAAGCCATTTCTTTCCTTTAGCCTACGTACACAAAAGTTTCTAACTCTCGCACAACCGCTCGATAGCACGCGGTGGCGACGCCGATGAGCATTTCGAAACTGCCGCGGTATCTGCGATATGCAGCATAGCACAGCGACAGAACACAATCGGCTGTCCGTGATACGGTTGTTCTGCGCTCTGCTTTTAAGCGAAAACGCAGTTCTCTTTTTTTAAAACGCGGTACAGCCGCAAAGAGCCAAACCTTTTATTGCGTGGCCAGTAGGGAGCCTTCATGTGCGCGCGTCTCCGTGTTTTAAGGTGGTCTCAGCCATGACCTACTACACTCCTGACCTGCCCAGAGAGCACCTCTTCCAGCGCCCACGTTCTAGTTCATACCTTCTGCCGCTAGGGCCGTAACTTAGGAGCACTGTGGCGCTAGTCAGCACCTGTTCGCTGACGTCAGCTTGAGTGTTCGTGGTCATATTTCGGCCAACAGAGCACTCATATTGCGTAATTATTATGCACTAATGAAAAATAATTTTGAAACAAATATTTCAAAAGTCATTCACAAATTCTTTGCAATTAAATGGACGCAACATCACATATGCTGTCCTACACTATGTAAGTCTACGGATTCTCGCATTTGTCCACCAGTGTGCAATAAATTTTTCGTCACACTGAACAGCTTACTTGACCAGTCATCTAAGTGAAAAAATAGTCACATATATGCCGGCTGTTCATCACGGAATGCAGCCGTTCTTACTCTAGCGCCGTCCAAACAGCCGTAAAGTAGCAGACGAACAGGTTATAGGTAGCGCCACCTACGGCGAGCGATTGAACGAGAGCGGGGACACGCGCTCCCATAGGAACCCCGCTATCTGAACAGGTCAGGAGTGTAGTAGGTCATGGTCTCAGCCTTTGACCCACCCACGGAGGAAGGAAAAAGACCCACCACTTGCCGCCGCCCGTTAAAACACTAAGTTGCCAGCCCCGTTTTCCATGGCAACAAGCGCCATGTTGGTTCTTGCGGCCAGGCATTCCTGCTCCGCGGCACTGCACCAGCTGAATGTTGGTGCAAGTGTGCAAGATGCAGTATGAGCTGCGTTTGACTACACCGTAGACGTAGCTTCCGCTACGACACCATCCTCGTGCTAAGCGCATTCACAATAAGCGCATTCACAATAACAGGGTCTGCGTGCCGCAATGCAAAGCCAACTGGAGATTGTCGCACCTCCCGACTTGCTCTAGGGAACGGAAACGCTGGATAACACAAGTGAAACGAGATTGCTTGGAGCAGAATATTTCTCCCCGTGTTTTTGAGGTGAGTACCCGTTGTATTGCGAGTGGATTGAGTATACCGCTGCATATTTCGTGAAATTATTGACTTTTTCATGTGATGAAAGGTAGTTTGAGCAAAGTAAACACGACAACTTGCACAGAAAAAAATGAATCAGGCTTCGTTCAGCTACGCCGGGTTATGCAAGCGAAAGCCGATAAATTTGAGTGTTTGTTTATCCTCGTTCGTAGTCGAAGCGTGGTTCACCAATCGAATGATATGACTAGTCGAACGTGTTGACCTGCATACATTCGCTATCAGCGTTTCATCGGTTTCCGAAGCCGTCACCGCATTCGTCGCGGGAAACGCCGGGCCCGTAAACCACCAACAGACGCTCGCGTTCGTATCTTCCTTTGCTGGCAGATTTTCGCGTTCCTGCACTTTCACTTTGGTCGCTGAGGAAGGGCATTCGGAGAGATAGATGAGCCGGCGAACACGTTCCCTGTAGACTTGTAGTCTTGCACAGTTGCAACAGAACTAAATTTTGTGCGACTTGGCATGGGGTATTCGTTCTTCCCTCGAATGACACGCGGAATCACACCGAAAATCGCTCAACAATAGCAAAAAGTATTTCGCTTTAATAATATAGAATGCTACAGATTTACTGTTCATGTCAGTCCGCCCTTCTGTTTGTCTCTCGGTCCTGAACGGCGGAGTATATGTGCACTAAGAAAGTCGGCTGTTGGCCGATAACTCAAATTTTCCGTATGGGAGATTGGTGCTGAATCGTTATTTTTGTCATCCTTTTGTTTCATAACCAGCCACAAAGATGATTTGATATCGTGAACTCGGTTTTTATTTAGTGCTTGTAGAGAAAGTGTGTGTGAACTTCGTATATGGTCGGCACAGTGTATGACTTCTCGCCTTATTGCTTTATTGTAGGCCCACTGCGTGGACACAAGCATCCAGCAAAGAAGGCAGGACGGTTTGAAGAAATTAAGGCCAGATGCTGTTTGCAATAAAATCTGACCTGGAAAAACTTCGTTTGTCCCTTGTTGCTCTCCTTTGCTTTTTTCTTTTAGCCTAATATACAAGATAGGGGGGGGGGGGGTTAGGTGGAGGGTTAGTGTAAAAAGATTAAGGGTCCTGCTATTTTCGGGAAATGCTTACTGCTTTTAATGTTTTAAGCAGTTCATTGTACAGATTCGTTTGCAGGAGCAGGACTTGCTGTAGGAAATTATATTACGGACAAAAGCAATATTTCGGGTATGAGAAACAGGCTAGCGGAGTTGTGCGGTTTACAGAGAACATCGCGAGCTACCCAGATTGTTTGATCTACCTTCCCTGTCGTTATGGGTACCATCATACAAACATCATGGTTTCGAGCCTTGTACTGCAGGTTACTGCAGTGCTAAGGTGAATTTGCTCCAGGACTGCCGCGTGGACATTCAAGTCCGTTCACAGTGACATCGAGGTTCTCCCCCACGCAAATAAAGGCTACCTAAATATCCTCACTCCGCCAATGCGGTAGGTCTACCAGGTGGGAGAAACGAACTGTTTTAACAGTACTTTATACAAACTCGAGTCACGAACGTGTCTTTCCTCTTCTACGAAACTGTGGCTAACTGCAGAATACATACCTTCAGCCTTCACAATTCCCCCCTTCTTGTTGAAACCCACGCTGCCTTCAATGTAAATAAGCGACCGCTCAGAACCAACATGGCAGCCCGCCAAGTATGACGGCCGTTTTAGCCAGTTGTAAGCAACCATGATCAAAGTTGTCACCACCCTAAAGCACAGAGACGCGCGCACATAAAGGTTCCCTAGTGGCTAGTTGCGAGCAGCGCTTTGCTCTCTCTACTCTGTGCACACCATGACTGCGGATCCCCTTGCTGTCCAGAACACCCTCTCCGCTTCAGGCCATGCACAGATTCGGCGAGTAGCCCGCTGAGTTAACGCGGCAACGAGGAGCTTTTCGCAATGTGCTCTCCGCGATGTTCTAGCTGTCCTGGCTGCGGACAAAAGTGCGTTTGAGCGTGCAGCATAGTAACAACAGCGCTACGCTCAATGTAGGGTGCGCTTATTGGCATAATAAAGCAAGGTTTCTTGGTGCCTGCGATCCGCATCGCTAAACTCGGTAATAGCGGGCTGCTCATGTCTCTGTAAAGCGATGCGCGCTTGAACACAGTCCCGCAAAACGTAGCAGCAGTGATAGGCGGCCCTGCGCGCGTTCAGGAAGTTTCCTACTAAAAGTGTGCAGTAGGCGTAAACTGACGGTACGCCACTCGCATGCCTGAGCTATAGTCTACTAGAAGGGGGCAGTGGAGTGAACCATAGAGTTTGTTATTTTTAGGAAACTCTATAGAGTGAACGAGGCGGCCGCGCCGCATCTCGGCTAATTCTTCGGCGGGTGACAGTGGCGGCGACGCTGTAGTTCCACAGAACACCTACCCCATGGTACCGAAAATCTCAGGAAGCGTCTGCATTGGGAGCGCACGCGCCCGAGACTGCGAAAGCGTGTAACTGCTCGTTTCTAGCGCGTTAAATGTGTTTCTGAACCTTTATCAGTGGACGCATCTGCTATGCGCCATGGTGCACGAGTGAATATGCAGGCACGCCAAAATTTCGTCGAGGACATTCACTGTTTCAAGAGCCTGCTCAACCCCCCCCCCCCCCCCAAAAAAAAAAAAATGAATGCCAATCGGAATTTGCACGGATCCACCGAGCTTGTTACTCAATCAGCGCTTTGAGCTGCGTCACAATATAAGTGGCTACTTGCGAACTACAAAGAGATTGATTTGATTGATATGTGGGGTTTAACGTCCCAAAACCACCATATGATTATGAGAGCCGCCGTAGTGGAAGGGCTCCGGTAATTTTCGACCACCTGGGGTTCTTTAACGTGCACCCAAATCTGAGCACACGGGAGAGAGGAGAAGTATCAAAACCGTGATTAAATCATACGCTCGTTTTGTCGGCAGTCTCTACGATATCGAGAGCGCAGTGTTCCTCATATGAGACTACATGCGCTCGATTGTTTCACGAGAAACCGGAGTATAAGTACGTTAAATTGTCACAACGTTAATCGTTGACGACTGTGTTTTATCATGCCAATTTCGCGGAAGATAATAATTATCGCTTTACGAAAGGCTTATTACTTATTAAACTTATTAAAAACAACCCACAAACATAATACAAGTGTCAACTGTACATTAGCCCGTCTGTTAATCTGCGTAAATTCATTGTAACCAGTTCTCATTTTGTATCGACAGCTTAAATTGTGCTGCTTTCAAAATATTCTATTGGCATAACGCCATTGCAAGCAAACAAATTTTTGACGATGTTTTGTGCTATATGCGTAGTTCTATTATTAAGTGTCAAAAGTATAAGCAGGCAGTACGTGGTGCATCTTGTTTTGAGAAATTTACCTTCCTTGTTTATGTACACAGTGAACACACACACACACACACACACACACCCACACACACACACACACACACACACACACACACACACACACACACACACACACACACACACACACACACACACACACACACACACACACACACACATATATATATATATATATATATATATATATATATATATATATATATATATATATATATATATATATTTATATATATGCAGTGAAGGTATGAGATATGGCACAACGGGGGGAGCGTTCTCAACAAGGATAAATATATTTATTTCACAACAGTTTCGGGACGGGTCCTCCCTTCGTAAGGGGATGAGTTATACGAATACGAAAAGAAGATCCCTGCCGAAACTGTTGGGAAATAAATATATTTATCCTTGTTGACAACGCTTTCATTGTGCCATATCCCATACCTTCACGAAGACTAACTGGCCCATTCAAATATCACTCCCAATATATATATATATATATATATATATATATATATATATATATATATATATATATATATATATATATATATATATATATATATATATATAATATATATATATATATATATATATAGAAGTTGAAGGGAAGGCACGACAGGTCCGGGTATTTTCTATATTGAATGAACTTGCAGATAGCACATAAGAAAAGGATCGTATTTACTAACGTTTCGGCCGTGGCACGGCCTTCGTCAGAGTAAGTAGGTATGATACAATGCAGCCGCTTTTATAGGCTCACGTGATGAACTCTCGGTATAGCAGCTAGGACAATCAAAGTCAAAAAATGGTAATCTGTCAGAACCTTGTGTTGACATGACTGACATGTGACGGGTGCATGAATATACAAGTCTCAAATTTCCTTGCGCATCGACACGCGGGGCACAGTATGGTTGGCAGGACATGCAAAAGAGCTCTGAAGTAAAGAAACCACGGTTGACTAATATACATTTTAGTATACACTAAAATATTTTACTAATCTAAGAAGTCGTGTTGTTATAGTGCGAGGCAGGTGATCTTTCCTACGTTTTCATTGATACCTGAACGAATGGTGTTAAATTTATGGATCAAGAAGGATTCCCTCACTTCCCTATCGTGATTTGTCTTGAAACCGGACTGAATAATAGTGGCCCTAATTTTGTCCAAACCATGGCCAGGCATACTGACGTGCTTCGACAGCGGTAGATTAGGGAGGCTTACGGCATGTGCACGGTGATTATTAAAACGAATTCTGAAACTTGTCTCTGTTTGACCTATGTAGTGAGCTCCGCATGTTGAACACTCGAGAAGATAGATGACGTTTATACTATCACACGTGTAGTTCCCATTTATCTTTAAAGAAAAACTGGACGATGTACTTAAAGCTGTTTTAGATGTCGTCATGTGCGCGCACACTTTGCAACGTGGTTTGTTGCAGGGATGACAGCCTTCATGATGTGAACACGTGGTTTTAGATGAGGTTAGTAAATCACGAAGGTTCCGCGACCGCCGGTAGACCACGCGTGGTTGTTCTGTAAAGATTCCTTTGAGCTGCTCGCTCTGTATTAAAATGTTAAAATGTTTCTTTAAGATATGGTTCACATTTGCAGCTGAGGCCGCATGTGTCAAAATTAGATTAGTCCGCGAACAGTCTTTGGGTCTTTTGTTAGTACTCAGCAGGTCTGAACGGTCAAGCTCTTCTGCACGTTTGATGGCGTCTGTGATTATGCTGGCCGGATAGCTCTGTTTTTCGAGCGCGCTCCGAAGTTGTTCGCAGTGGCGGGGAAATTCGGTGCTATCTGCAAGTTCATTCAATATATATATATATATATATATATATATATATATATATATATATATATATATATATATATATATATATATATATATATATATATATATATCCATGCAATGCCCCTTAGCACAGCTACTATTTTTAGGCGTTGCATTTCTCGTCCGAGTACGTTAGACTTAAACTAGTTTTGAGGCCTCATACTGTCGAAAAGGTGAAATCTACAGTGCGCATTTGTAGAGACACGCTATATTGAGCTTCGACAACTGCTGAAACCATTGGGTCAGGGCTACCAAGGATTTTTTTTTTTTCTTGAGGGGGGTGGGGTGTGCAACAGAACGCCTAACTTAGGGTAATTGGTGGTCGCTGTGAATGCGTGTAACTATTTTAGTATACCCTGAAAAAGTTAAATTACGGAAAACACTAAATTTGCGTCGCTGTGCTCAGCGTGCGCACGCGTCAACGCTACATGGGAGTATACTAGGCCCATCATGATGCACTCGTGGCCGTTTTGCTAGTATTTTCTAGCTCCACATATACCAAATTTGGTGTTACGTGACGTCGAAGGATGACGAAATATATGACTGGTCCAAATATCATATCTCTGTCAAGCGTGTCATGTAAGAACATGACAACATACCACGCTCATAGCGTGCTCGCGGTCGTTTCGCTAGCTCCACATATACTAAATTTGGTATCACGTGACGTGAATAGATGACGAAGGTAAACGACACATTTAAACATGATAATCATGACACGGAAAACATGTAAAGCGTCATTTACCTCCACCTCGTAACATTGCGCTGATTTTAAAGTGTAATATCAACATTTCTCGTTCGTGC